CATGCAGGCAAGATTCCTTGCAACTTCAGTCATTTATGGAAATGTGTCATATAAGCCACTTGTGAGGCTGGGGTACCAGCCTCAGGGCTCGGTGTCAACAGAGCTTGCTAGGGTAGACAACTCACACAGAGGCAGTCCAGACAAATTTCCACAGACAATGTTAAGAGGGCTTGTGATATCACCACCTGCAACCCGAAGAACAGGAGCCAGGTTGGGAGAGTATTTACCACTCAGTTTCTGTACTTTTTTCCCAGACTGCACTCATAGAGGAAGCAGAGGTGATGGTGGAAACATAATCTTGCCAGCAAGTGCATTTAGCGTTACAGATGACATGGCGAGTGACCGCTTGCTTCTGCTTAAAACCAGGGAGTCTCTCTGTGATTCTATTGTACCGGTACCTGCCCCACGCAGTGCGTTTCAAATGTACTGCCCGAGCACAAGCAGGAGACCACCAAGGCATGCACTTCTGAGAATACCTGCCGAGGTTTGGGGTATGGAATGTGAAGCTGCGGTTAAAACTGAGGTCAAGAAGAGGTGTAAAAGCTCATCAATGGAGGACAAAGAAGGAACCTCACTAAAAGCAGTTAGATGTGAGTAAAGGTCTCAATTTACTCAGTCAAATTGCCAGCGTGGGCTATGAGGTGGTGGTGAATATGAAGGAGAAGTAAGAATGCTTGGAAAATGATCGCTGTCATGTAAGTCCAGGAGGAGAGACCAGATGGAGTCTAGTGCAGTGGAGGAAGAGCAGACCGAGAGAGAATGAGTATGAGGATCAAAATGGGTGGGAGAACCCGTATTTAAAACATGGAGGGGGAGAGAAGCGAGAAAAGTATCCAACCGAATGCCGCGGGAGTCACAGTGAGACCCCCAGAGGAAATGGTGGGCATTAAAATCTCCAAGTAACACAAGTGGTGGCGGTAGGGAAGAAACCAGAAATGCAACATCCGGGATAGATAAGGCCCAAGAAGGAGAGAGATACAAAGAACAGACTGTATACCACTTCTTCAAGTGGATACAGGCTGCAGTGTAATCCAGTGAAGTATGAACAAAGAGCTGACAGTATGGAATACTGGTGCATTAAGAAGTGCACTTTCATTAAAGGTTCCATTGGGAAAAGGAGCCAATGAATATAATAAATCATAGCCTGAGATGGGATGAGAACAGCAGAGAGTAATTTGGGTTCCTGTAAACAAACGCAAACAGGGGAAAACTGGGAGAGCAACACCTGGAGCTCACCCTGGTAACCTCTGAGGCCGCATATATTCCACTGTAAAGAGGTCATGATTTGCGAAGAGAAAGATAAAAGAAAGCTGAAGGTGGAGGTATCTACAGACTAATAGGGTTAGAAGAATCCACATGTGGAGGTAGCGGAAGACTGTTAAGCAGCGCAGGATTGGGACACTGTGAAGAAAGGAGTTGTGCAGATGGAGAAGAGTGAAGAGGAGGAGCAGGAGGTGGATCGGTGTCCATCAGTAGTCTAGTCTCTTCAATATATTCTGAGATAGCTTCAAGCGTTTCTGAGGACAAGGACATTGTGTGTGGTACAATACTGGAGATGGAAGAAGGAGGGTGAATAAAGATTGGGGAGACGATGGACTGTACCAAAGTAGGGGGGGATGAAAGGGTAACAGAGCCAGTTAGAGGTGAAGAACCGGGTACAAAGACTGGAAAGGAAAAATGAGCAGGTTGCAGAAGGGAAGGACGGGTGAAAGGAGATTTTAACAATGGGGATGTTTTGGACTTCGGAGGAGAGGGGGTAATGGGGAGGTGGTGTTGCATGAGGTCTCATAGACACAGAAACTTGTGAGTGAGAAGAGGAAGAGGTGAGAACAGAATGATGTGCTGAGGTAGGGACCTCTCAGTCCAGGACAGCAAAAGAATTAGAGACAGGGGTGACCACAGAGGAGGGGGGACATTTAGTAACTCAAGAATAAGAAATACGAGGAAGTTTCCCTTGGAGGCGTAGATGAGAAACTGCCATAGCACATGAGAGGCCTTCTGCCTCTTTGAGACAACGGATTTCATGCTCATTTAAGTAAACTTGGCAACGGTAAGAGTAAGATGGGTGAGCCTCATGACAATCAAGGCAAGAGGGAGGTAGACTACAAGATGTATTGGTATGGTCGTTGGTATGGTTGTTGGTGATGGACTTGCAATATTTTGGTGGATGACCAAAAAGCCAGCAATTTCTACACTGTTGTGGTGTAGAGATCACCTTTTGAACTTGTAAACGGTGTCCCGCTATATATACAGAGGATGGAAGCTCACAGCAGTCAAAAGTTAAGCAATCTACATTGCAAAGGTATTGCCTCCGCCTGCAGGCAGGGACAACATAAGTGTCTACTTTGAGGATTGGAAGGTCTTGGAGTTCTAGCTGTTCCAAAATGTCATTGCTACATGTCTGGAAATTCTCTTGGACAATGGTATGGGGCAGAATGACAGTGCCACTGCAAGAATTGAGGGAATGATGTTTTTCCATAGTTAGAAGAATAGTATCGATAGTTGTAAGGAGAGAAACATTGTGAGCTTGGTTAGCATTCTGGACAGTGATGATGCATGTGGTGCTCTTGAGATCAGGAAAGGATATATCTCTACCAATATGGCATAGGAGCGCCTTGCCAATACTATGGTCAGATAGGCAGTAGAGGAAGTCGGTTGTAGAGTATAAAACTTAGTCCACTGCGTATTTCAAAACATCGCATGTAAAGGGAGTGCGTGATGTGCCGGTCTTTTCTAAGTAGAATGAGAAGGAAGTGAAGAAGTATCATCAGGTAATGGTCTTGGGCGTTTAGGTGTGGGACCAGAGTTAGTCCGACGTGGGATGAGCGGGCGATCCAAAAATTGCCACATCATAGAGGGAGAAGCCGGAAGCATAGTCAAAGAAGAGTAGAGGTCAGATGTATCGAAGGAGTCAGTCAAAACCTTGGTACCTGGAGCAGGTGTCGAAACGGCACCAGAAGGAGGTACAGGGGCATTAGAAAAGTCCAAAGAGTGGTCAAATAACGAGGCAGGGTCAGAACAGGGTGCGGTATCAGGAAAGGGCCCGGGGGGAGCAGGTTCATGGATTGGGAACTCCATGGTTAGGTCACTCATTTTCTTTTTGTTTTTATGAAAAAAAAGAAGGAAAGAAAATAAAAAAAAGAATAAAAAAAGGAGGGAACGTGGAGGAATAGCTCCTAGGAGGAATGAAAGGGGCGTAAATCTCCCTCCGCACCCAAGAGGACCTCAGCACCGCAAGTAGTGCAGATGCAGCATGGAACCCATGCCATACCCTACCCTTCATGCCAGTAAACCAGCAATCCGGGATAGCAACCTCACTTACGCTGAGCCACCTCGGCTGACAAAAGAGAGGGCGGCCGGACACCTGCCACAAAGCATACTTCCTTTGGCCACCACCCCCAGGAATCTGAAAGGTAGCCTCCAGAAATACACCTGTCACCAGAGAAACATCTAAAGCCACCCTCCAGGAGATCGGAGAGGGATTGGGACATCCCCAGGTGATCCAGATTCTATGGCAAACTACACCACCGCTAAGGACCTCAATGAAATGGGATGGACCCCCCGTACCCTTTCCCCTACCTAGGAACTACAGTGCCTGTGGGAAGAATCCCAAAGGCTGAAAATAAGAAGGGAATAGGGGAAGGATGGAGAGGAGGAGGAGGAAAGGAAAAAAGGGGGAATGGGGAGGAGGAGGAGGAAAAGAAAAAAGGGGGAATGAGGAGGATGGGATAGGGAGGGCAGGTTGGGGGGTAATTAGGTTTGGTCTGAGTAAGGAGACCAAAAGGTCTAATTCCTCAGACCAGGAGCCTCTTCACCGCACCAAGGAGCCCCTCTTAAAGAGGCTTCGCTTTACAGTGTTTTGCTAATACAGCAGTTTTCACCTATACCCATTCTTCATTTATTTGACTTCCTGCAATAAATATATTCACCGCTCACTATAACCTAAGGATGAAAATATTTCAAAGTAGCGTGTATTCTGTATGTTATGCAGGGTTCTGCATGACATTGTAATGTACATTATATACAGTAGAGAAGGGTACCATAATAGTATGAATGTTATAATTGTAAAGCATAATTTTATAATTCATAATGTGCATTTGGGGTTACTGTAAAGTAGGTTAAATGGTAATTATAAAGAAATCCTGCTAGGGATTTATTTTCCAACTGTGTTTTGGGTATGCGGGTAAACGTGGCTTGGGAGACACGCAGTGGTCCGTATGGCATGGAGGCTGGCGTCGGAGACACCATGTATTTAAGCTAAGTTTTGTAGTTGTGTACTCCTTTTGTTTAGCTAACTCAAGCCATAGGCTCTTCTGTGGTTTACTTGTATGCTCACCCAGGGTCTGACATGGCCAGGGTGCTGTGGGATGAGTGAGGAAATAAGAAATGGGGTTGGTATTGGAGTAGTGAAGGCCTGGCACTGGCTAGGCTGAGTGTTTATGGTTGCTGGACCACCAGCCACCTGCTTCTTGTGCCCACTATTTGGGCATTTAGGATAGGAGATACATGAAGGTGTTTTCTTGAGTGTGTATATAGTGTTATGATGAATAAAGATATATTTTCCTAACTAGGATTTTTGCCTAACCTTCTGTTAACCAACCCTTTGAAGTAAATACTGGTTTAGCGCTTTCTGTTTTGACTGGGATAGCCCTGGGTGGCCTGTTTATGCCTGAGTTGTGTGTAACTTTTACCTTTGCCCTTGACAAGGCTCTAGCCCCCAGGTATCCCACATTTCTGCGTAACACTGTATATTCAATTTTTAGGCCTAGCTATATCGCTCACTTAATATATGATGGTATAAACATATTACCAAGCTTTTTTATGCATTTGAAAGTGGAAAAGAAAAGCTATTGCTTTACGGGCTACTGCTTTACAGCAGTAGCTCAAAACCTAACATGCTGAATAAGTGCGACCCTCCTGTAGAATTATCACGCAAAGTGCCAAATTGTGATATTTTGCTGGAAAATTTTATGAAAAGGTTCACAGAAAAATAATTTGGGTGTGAGATGTTTATTTCATTGTAAACAATGCTAATCTACAAATGTAGAGGACTGCAAAATTGACAATATACAACACAATAATAATTATATATAAAACACTTAACCTGTTGGGATTAATTGGCTCTACATTTCAGCTAAACTGTAATCAGCAATAAAATGCCTTACAAATTTGTATGAATCTGCTAGGAAATTTTATTTAGTGATATTTAAAAAAAAAAATTTTTTTTGCACAATACGTACAAAAACTGTATAAATAAATCAGTAAGTTAAATGTTTTATGCACAGTACATAAATAATAAAATATGAGTTTAAAAACTATAAGAATGCTAATGAATCGTCTTTAATTCGACATAAAAAAAAAAAACTGTGCAGACGAGTGGCACAATTACATTTTAATTAGCTTTTTCTTCAGTTTAACTTCAAATTTTCAAATGTTACAATTATATGGATACTTTAGTCAACTCATTCAGAATCAAAGTTGCTAGTGCTTGGACATCACCTTGACAGTTTTCAACATCTTTTGAGTGAACTTTCTTCACTTCCCAGCCACGCTGACTCAGAAGTCGCATCTTCATTTTCACTATTCCAATTGGTTCTGATGTAGACAAAGTAGTATGAGAATCCAACAGTTCAATAGCTATGTGCTGCACAAAGAAATTCTCTTTAATCATAGACAGTTGTTGTAGTACATGGTCTCGCTGGCCAGTGCTATTTGGTAACCAGATACAATTTTGATCCTTTAGCTCACTATTATCGAATAACAAACTTGCATAGTTAATGTGTGTAATAGGAAACTTAAGTTTCAGAACAGATGCACCAACTATTTGATTAATAAGGAAGGCACCTTCCATTAATGTTGCAAGAGCTGGACGATGATTAGTTTCATCTGTGAGAGTTCTTAAAGGTAAATTACTTTTTGAGATGTCTGGTATTTCAAGGATTAATTCAGGAAATTCCAATTTAAGACACTCATTTAGCATTAGAAGACGAGACAGCTGCTTGCTCTTCTGGTAACCTATAATAAATAATATGTATTTAGTATTTTGTATAAATTAGATTAATGTCTATAAATAACACAAACCTTTAATGTGCTACAACTGAAGAATCTACTGTGTTGGTATTTAATTAGTTTAGATTTTCTAAAGTGCGGCATTTCAAGTGAAATGCAGTAAGGTGAACATTGAGAAATGAGGAATTATTATTATTATTTTTATTATAATATTTTTAAATGACAGAGTGGGGTACTGTCAACAAATTTTGCTGAGAATATGAAAAAGTTTTGGAGTGAGACAAATAGGTTAAGAAAGCCTAGGAAACAAAGGGATTTGACAGTTAAAAACAGATGGGGAGCTCGAGGTATTGGGAGGATGGCAGGAATATTTTGAGGAACTGTTAACTGTCAATGAAGAGAGGGAGGCAGTAATTTCACGTATTGGCCAGGAAGGTACAACATCTTTTAGAAGTGAAGAAGAGCCAGACATGAGTGCGGGGCAGGTGCATGAGGCATTGAGTAGAATGAAAGGGGGTTGAGCAGCTGGAATTGATGGGATCATGACTGAAATGTTAAAAGCAGGTGAGAATATAGTTTTGGAGTGGTTCATACTTTTGTTCAATAACTGTATGAAAAGGAAGGTACCTAGAGACTGGCAGTGTGTGTGAATAGTTCCTTTATATAAAGGGAAGGGGGACAATAGAGTGTAAAAATTATAGGGGAATAAGCCTCATGGGTATACCAGGTAAAGTATATGGAAGGGTTATTACTGAAAGAATTAGAGGCAAGACAGGGAGCAGGATCACAGATGAACAAGGAGGCTTTAGAGAGGGTAGGGGATGTGCAGACAAAGTATTTACACTGAAGCACATAAGTGAACAATATTTAGATAAAGGTAGGGAAATTTTTGTTGCTTTTATGGACTTAGGATAGGGGAGAAATGTGGCATATGTTGCAAGTGAATGGAATAGGTAGTAAGTTACAAAATATTGTAGAGAGTTTTTATGAGGATAGTGAGGCTCAGGTTAGGGTATGTAGGAAATTACTTTTCAGTAAAAGAAGGCCTAAGACAGAGATGCATAATATAACCATGGTTGTTTAACATATTTATAGGTGGGTTTGTAAAAGAAGTAAATGCTAGGATGTTGGGATGAGAGGTGGAATTAAATTATGCAGAATTTAATACAAAATAAGAGCTGCTTTTTGCTCGTGATCCTGTACTTTTTGGAGATTCTGAAGAGAAGTTGCAGAGGTTAGTGGATGCGTTTGGGTGGGTGTATAAAGGAAGAAAGCTGAAAGTAAATACAGCCTCTCCTCACTGAGCGACATACTTGTTTTCCAATGACTGGGACTTACAACGGGCTCTCTGATCAGTATGCACACCTAAATAATGTACATTAGAGCTGGTTTCCTCTATTCTGGTTATTACAATATATAGTACACTGCTGTATAAACATTTAACCCTTTCAGGGTCCAGATGCCAAATTTCAAAGTGTGCACCAGTGTCCAAGAATTTTAAAAAATAATTGTTATTTTTTCTTATGAAATTGTAGAGAACCTTTTTCTGAGGGTAATAAAACAAAAAGTATGATATTTGATGGAAAATTGACGAAGTTATGCTCTCGCAAACTTTGATGTGTCAGCGATATTTACGCATCGGCGATTTTGCGGACTTTGACTCCCATTTACATTATTCCAATCAACTAAATTCTTAGCTATTTCACTAATATTACTTCTATTCTATTGACTGAGCACAAGAATTCGCCAAGTCAACTGTTTCAACTACAAAATAAAGTGATCACAAATTGGTAATTTGGCCAATTTAATGCAAAATTCAAAATACTTCAATTTCAAAATAGGGCCCAGAATAAACAATGCAGGCATTCCTGGCACTAAACTAACATTTCCTCTGTTCATTAGTTACGTTTTCAGGCTTTACTAATGAATTCCATTTTTATTTTTTATTCACATAATGAATTTTTATTCAAACCAAAAAATAGAAGATTTACTGTTATGCAATATTGTAATAATTGTATAAATAATATCAGCACATTTGTGAACATATATTAGACCCACCAGCTGGCATGTATTAGACGTGTGAGGTCATTTGTTTACTCTTGAACATCGGCAAAAATTTAACATTTCCGCTACTTTGAGCTCAGTTTCAAGCCATTTGCAGTACTAAAACCAATCAAAATCATCTCTATGTCTGTAATATGTCTTCCATTCTATCAAATGAGACCAAGAAATCGCAAATACAACCATAAAAAACATACGAAAAAACACTGCAAAGTCGCTGTTTTAATCGAAAATTAAGGTCTCAGTTTTTTTTTCTCTCATTATGCTCTATGTGCTGCAGGATTTGTTTTATGTGGTGCACACATACCACATAGATGTATTTTCTCATATCAAGGCCAAAATTTACCGCTCACAGCTTATCGGAGTGAGCTGAGCTCATGACGTAGATCTACGGTTTGGGCCCTCAACGTAAAGCCGTAGATCTACGGCATGGACCCTCAAGGGGTTAAAAATATACCAAAGGTGACATTAAAACAATATCAAAGGTGACATTATAACAGTATCAAAGATGGTTGACACAAATCCATTACCATTAAAGTAGGCTCCTCACTTAGTGACGAATTCATTTACTGATGTGGTTTTAGGAACGGAACTCCGTCGTTAAGTGAGGAGAGGCTGTATAGATAATAGTAAGGCAATGAGGGTATCAAACGAGTTAGGTAAAGAAAAATTGGATATCAGATTGGAGGGAGTATGTAAGAAGTGAATTTAGATATTTGGGAGTAGACTTGTCAACGGATAGGTTTATGAAGGACGATGTAAACTATAAAACTGATGAAGGAGAAAAGGTGGGTGGTGCACTGAGGCATCTGTGGAGACAAAGAACATTATCCATGGAGGCAAAATAGGGAATATATAAGAGTATAGTGGCACCAACACTCTTATATGGGTGTGAAACATGGGTTGTGAATGTTTCAGCAATGAGGAGGTTGGAGGCAGTGGAGATGTTGTGTCTAAGGGCAATTTGTGTGGCATAAATATTATGCAGAGAATTCGAAGTGTGGAAATTAGGAGCTGTGGGGTTAGTAAAAGTATTATTCAGAGGGCTGAGGAGAGGTTGTGGTGGTTTGGTTATTTAGAGAGGGTGAAGCACAATAGGATGAGTTGGAGGGTATATCGGTAGTGGAGGGAAAGAGGGGTAGGGGTCATCCTAGGAAAGGATGGAGGGAGGGGGTAAAAGAGGTTTTGTGTGCAAGGGGCTGGACATACAGTAGGTATTTGTGAACATGTCAGACATGAATGAGTGGAGGCAAATGGTTTTTGACAAGCTGTTGGAGTGGGCACAGGGTAATATTTTGAGAAGGGATTCAAGAAAAGTGGTTAGCTGGACTTGAGTCCTGGAGATGGGAAGTACAATGCTTACACTGTAAAGGAGGGGTTTGGGATATTTGTTGTTTAGAGAACATCTAAACTATATCTTCATACCTCTGCAAAGACAGTTACAGTATGAATGATGGTGAAAGTATTTCTTTTTTGGGGTCACCATGCTGCATGGGAGACAGCCAGCATGTTAAAAGAAAATAATAAAGAAGCACTACACCTGTAAGGATCATACAGCACCTGGGAAATGAGAAGGGTAAGGGATAATTACCTAGGTAGTAGGTTGATACACAGCAACCACCCAGGGGGTTACTACCGTCCTGCCAAGTGAGTGTAAAACAAAAGCCTGTAATTGTTTTACATGATGATAGGATTGCTGGTGTCTTTTTTTCTGTCCCAAACATGCAATATTTCAGGTATATCTTGCTACTTCTACTTACACTTAGGTCATACTACACATGCATATACAAGTGGCAGCAGTAGCATCCTAGCAGCTCTTTTTTCTTCAAAATCCAGTGTTCATCAAAGCTTGTGATGGCCTAATTGAAGGTACAACTGCATGGACCCACATAGAAAACAAAATGGCCCAGGAATACTAGGAATACAACCTTGACAAAAATGACGATCTAAGGAAGACAGCCCTGCAAATCCAAACACTGCCTCCGCTGTCAGACGAACATTCAACACCAAGCTCAGGAAAATAAAGCCTTCTCTTCCATAGCTTCACCAGTAGCTACCTTAATGATACTATGAAAGGAACTCACAGAAGAAACAACAAAAGTAACAAAAGAATAACACCAAGGGCTCTGCAACTCAACATGTCAACCCAGCAGGGCGTCGATGTATCCTCAACCCTCCTCACCTGGGGACCGACACCAACAACAACACCAAACATGATTGACTCTCCCTCCAACTCCACTCCCTTCATAGGATTCCCTCCTGATCACCCAGGTCAGTTTGGATTCAGGCCTAATAAAATAATGAATGATGCTATTATACATATGCTAAAAGTAATATACACTGCTCTCGAGAAAAAAGAAGTCCCACTGGGACTTCTTTTTTCTCGAGAATCTTCATTGATTTACGTAAAGCTTTTGATACAGTTGACCATGATTTGTTGCACATAAAATTAACACACTATGGTATAAGAGGGCACTCCCTCAACTACCTAAAGTCATACCTTAGCAACAGAAGCCAATATGTGTACACAAATGATGCTAACTCTTCCACACAACCAATCGCAGTCGGGGTCCCACAGGGCAGTGTCCTTGGCCCACTTCTCTTTCTCATTTACATCAACAACCTACCAAATGCATCTCAACTACTCAAACCCATATTATTTGCTGATGACACTACATACGTCTTCTCTCACCCAAACCCAGTCATACTAACCAACACTATAAATACTGAATTATGATGACTAACAAGCTTACTCTCAATGTTGATCAAACCTATTTCATTCAGTTTGTTTTCCAAACTACAAATGTTCCACTTAACATAATGATAAACAGATCACCTGTCACAAGAATCACAGAAGGAAAATTCTTAGGAATCCACCTTGACAGTAGCCTCAAATTTTAGACACATATACAACAAATTTCCAAGACAATCTCTAAGACCATAGG